ATATACATATATATATGAATAGACAGTCTATGTTAAAAGGTAGGCATTTTAAAACACAACATATTTTAATTCTGAGTCATTCAGGGATTGATTTGTCTGAATGGAAGTAGGGCATTTTTAGGGGCTGCCTCATGCATCTAATTCTTTAAAAATCAAAGAACTTGCTTGATCATATATCTATGACCTAAGTGAATTTTTCAATGGTAAGGTGAATGTTTGTCAGCCTTAGATAGTAATTGAGAAGGAATTCACATTTCAGATTTTCAGTTTTCAAGGAAAGACTTTTTTTGAACTTTTAAAAAATGTAAATTCAGTGATAGAACTGACTTTTTTTCCCCAAGTAATTGCACAAAATGCTAATGCTATCAGCAAATCATTAGTATTAAAGCAGGAAGTACTCTAGCTTTACTAAAGTCAAATGAAAGGCTATAAGCTGCTGTCAGTTTTGCAGTAGAAATGCAACTGGCCAGCTGGCTGCTGTTTTTTTTTTTTTAACAAAAAAAAAAACTTTTGGCAGGTCCTGGGGCAGCATGTCTAATAGTAATGCAAGCATTTTCCTTTCTCCAGCTTCTAAGAAAAAAAGGGTTGGCTCTTGATTTGAATGTTTTCTCATACACACTAAAGCTCAGTCTTCTGTATCCATGTGTGGCTAGTAATTTAATCATCTAAACCAGATGTAAGCTTACAGAGGAGGCTTGATTCTGTAGGCCAGCCTTTGCTAGGTAGTGTAACCTGGTGCAACAAGCACTCCATTTCACGTCATTGTTGCAAAAATGGAACACTGCTCCTTCATGAACGTCACAGAACTACCTTTAAGACTTCCAAATTCTATGCAAAGGATTAGCCTGGGGGAGACTGATAAAGTAACTTAAAAGTATTTCATGTAAAACTTGAAAGGGGTGGGGGAAGAAGATGGAGGGTAGTGGACTAAATTGGAGGGAAAAGGGCAAAGACACTGAAAACTAAGGTAGAAGAGGTCAGTTACAGAAGAATGAAGTGAAAGCAGGAAACATGACTGATATATGGCAAATGGGTGACAGCTTTTACTTGGGTTGAAATGTTGGACTTTGTAGTATGCAGTGAAAATTTACTGTCTGGAAGTATTATTTCAGTACACTTACTATTTGAGCAGCCCTAATAGTGAGCTGCTGCTTTAACAAAAATAACAAAAATGATATTACTACAGCTACATGTGACATAAGTAGTTGTCAGTCCAATTAGGCTGTCAAGATGAATGTGTTTTGATATGCTTAACTGTTTTAATAGGTATGTATGTGCTTTTCAGCCACAATAGGTATGTTTCACAAAGTATGAATTTCCAAGCCTTCTCTGAAAAAAACCTCTAGAACATGGAGTTAGTTTGGATGCATGTGTGACACTTGGCTTGGTTGCCCATATTTCAAATATATTGGGAGTGTCTGTGAACTGTCAAGGAGTAAGAAGAATACATGTGAAATGTTCTGTCAGTTTTTCTTAAAACATGTGATTTCAAATGCATCAATATGAAAACTCTTATGTGATATCCTTTGCTCAGAATGTTATTATGCAGTGTTACTTGAGACCATAGATTCATAGCAACTAATGCAGTGGCATTTGAACTATTTTTTGTGGTCCTCTGGAAGTAGAGGTTACTTCTAAATTGTCTGTGATAGGCAATTAAGTAAAGCAAAATGTTCCCATGTGTAGGCTTAAACTTCCTATGCAAGGCTGCACAAATTAGGGAGGAGGAAAAGTTGAAAATCACTGATCTAAAATGAACTGAATAATTTACCTTATGTCATAGCACATCAAGGCTTCTAGTAACTCCAGTGAGTGAAGTGAAATTTTAGTGGTGACCTTACAGAAAACACAGACATTCTATGGATAAGCACTGTGAAGAAGAAAACTGTCAGTTATATATTGCATGTGTACCCTTTGTATTCAGAAGAGCAACATTAGGGAAATGGCTCAGTGGGTAGAAGCATTTTTCTGCTTCACTACTTTTCATTGAATCATAAACCTGTACTTAATGTTTGTCATGGAGTAGTTGCAATGTGAAGTACTGTATCTGTAATTTGATTAGGCAGAAGATAAATTATTTGGGGAGGAAAAATACTGCTCTGGGAATAAGTTGGAAAGAGAACTTTGGCAGTATAGTTTACTTGATGTAATTCAGACACATGACTGAAATACTGCTTATTCTTATAAATAGTATTCTTAATTCTTTTATGTTCTTATATCTTATAAGCAACTATGATTTATAGTTGCTACTTGGCTAAAACAAATGTTTGCTTAGGTTTGACTTGTGAAGCTATTTTTTATTATTAAGATCATTTCTATACTTTAGGTGAAGGCATTGAAAGAGAAGATTGAATCAGAAAAGGGGAAAGATGCTTTTCCAGCAGCTGGCCAAAAACTAATTTATGCAGGTAGGTAATGGATCCTCTAAAGATACTATGTCTGAATCTACCATATATTTTTCTCTGTTTTCTTTCCCATTGACCTCTTAAGATCAGTATTACTCTGATTTGAGTTTTAAGTGATGAAATGCAAACAAACAAACAACCTTGTTGACAAGGGGTGCTCTTAATAGTGCATCAGATTTTTTTTTCTCCATACTCCAATGAATACTTTTTGTTTGTTTTCTCTGATTTCTACATCATCTTTCATCAGCTCTATTCCTGGGTAGCATATGCTATGTTAAGTGGGAATAGCTATCATTACAAGAAACTAAGGCTTAAGCAGATCAAATTTAATCTTTTTGGTGAACTCTTGTCTTCTGGACATATACCAGAGAAACTGAACAAAACATTCTTCTACTTACCTCCAGAATTAAAAATCAGCTAATTTCTTTTGGACTTGCTCTATTCAGTCAGCTGATGGTGGGGGAGGGGGAATGTTGCTAGAAAGAAGGACTTGTAATACTTCTAAGCTGTCATTAACAAATCTGCTAGAAACATGTGTCACATACTAGTGAAAAGCAAGCTATGTCAAATAAAATGTGAAGACTTAATTATTTTCTTTGTACTAAGGCACTTTGAAACCTTAGACAGTATTTGTGATAATCTTCTATGTGATTGGTCCATTCTGGCATTAACATACAGATATGTTTTTTTTCTTGCTTAATTGCTGGAAGCAGAAGACATTGTCTAAAGATTCACAATACCCCTACTGCTTTTTTTCTCTCAAGACATACTTGAAAGAAGTTGTGGTTATCTCTTAGCTCCTCAAATATGCTGATTTAAAATTTTTATGCTTTGATAGAATTGTGTGTGAGGCTCTGAGTCAATCTGATAAAGTATATACCATTTGCTAGTAAAGACATTTGTTTATAAAAAAGATTATGCGATTCAGAAAGCAAGAGTGGATTTGTGGTTTGGGATCTGTATTACCGTAGCACCTAGAAACACAGAGTGATGTGGGCAGAGAAAATAGAATGCTCGTATATATGCATTATAAAAGCTCCTTCCCCAAAGTGCTTATAAACTAGATTAATTATGTAGGCTCTAAGTCAGATATTGCACCATGCGTTACCATTATTGATCATTTGGAGTATTTGACCTACAAGGCCATAGTGGAGCCAGCAGAGAGTAAGACAGCTACCTCATTTGTGTTCCAAGTGCCATGCTGTGTGTACCTGCTTCAGCTCCTTACAATCAGCAGCACAAAGATGTGTTCTACTAGTTATAGGTAAATGGCTTATTACACATTCAGCTAATATTTTAGCCTTTGTTAACTATAAATTGATAAAATTGCAGAGTTGTAAGCTTGTTTCAAGCAGTTGAATTCATGCTGATGCAAGGGTCCAGACTCTTCTCCGTGGTGCCCAGCAACAGGACAAGAGGCAGCGGGTACAAACTGAAACACAGGCAGTTCCATCTGAGAATGAGGAAAAAGCTCTTTCCTGTGAGGGTGACTGAGCACTGGCACAGGTTGCCCAGAGATGTTGTGGAGTCTCCATCCTTGGAGATATTCAAAACCCGCCTGGACATGATCCTGGGAAATATGCTCTAGAGGACCCTGCTTGAGCAGGGAGGTTGGACTAGATGATCTCCAGAGGTCCCTTCCAACCTCAACTATTCTGTTCTGTGATTCTGTGAACTCTGGATCATTTCCTGAATTTGAAAAGCTAACAGAAGAGAATAACTCAGAAGAGGTATGAAGCAGGCAGGATATTGAGTTTTTTCCTCTGTCTTAAGCATATAGACAGATTTAAATTATTCAACTCACCCTACTCTCTTCTGAAGGGTTTTTTCCTCTATATTACTTGAACCTCTATGATGAAGGTCCAACAAATCTTTTCCTAGAGTTGACAATTGTATTTTAAATAATCTGAAATCTATTTGACACTTGGCAAGGTGTCAAGTATTCTATTGAAATCGAGAGAGTTGCTTTCAAGTAATTAGTGTCATGGAAGTTACAGGAGGAAAGTTATTTGGAACTCTACTGCTAGAGCTTAATAGCTAAAATGCTTTTCTTTGGATCATGAATATTCATGTCTGCATAAATCCAGTTCTTAGCTATTTTGGAACTGTTTGCATGAATGAATTCCAGGATCATCTAATGATTTGTTAAATGATTTGCATTTGTCTAATTTGCTAGGTAAAATTCTTAATGATGATACTCCTCTTAAAGAATATAAAATAGATGAGAAGAACTTTGTGGTGGTTATGGTGACAAAAGTGAGTAGTTCTTTATTGAAAAGAAAATTGCATTCATCTTTTTTTTTCAATGATATGAATGGTTGTATATGGATATGTACCCTTAAAACCAATGGAAATCGATTATCTGAAAGTTGTGGTTAACAGTGAAATGTTTGTGGGAATTGATTTGAAATATTGCTTAGCTATCCTGGTCTCCTTAAGTTGATCACTGCTGTGCTGGATGTTTATACCCGAGAAAATATCCACTTCAATTGCTGTTGGGCAGTGGTTGACTTTGATTTTACTGTCTTTCCTTCCTTTGGCTTACAGTCCTATGTTCTATTCTTCCTATGATTTTTTTCTTAAAAGGAAGAAGAGAACCTAGGTAGTTTGTTATTAAATCATCCTCTACAAAAATCCCTATAGTCTCCCACTGTTGGTTTTCAAAATTCACGGCTCTGTTTCTTGTGCCAACCTCAACAGCCTAAACCAAAAGAAGAAAGAAATGTGCAAAGCAACAGACCTGTGAGTTTTGAATGACAGTTGTGGCAAACTAGAGGGCATGACTGTGACACTGCCAGAGGGGACATACTGACAATAATCTGGTGACTGGCCTTGGGGTCTGAATAAAATTCTGGCTTTGTCTCCATCTTGAGGCCATGAGGCAAATGAGAGTTACAGGCCCTTTAACTCTAAAATTTCTCCTTAACAAAGGGAACCAGTAGTCCAACTGTCCATCAGTTCAGTTCAATATTGGCTTATTAGATTCTTCACACTCATCTTATGTACACCCATCATCAAATTCTTACTGAAGAAATTGGTGTTCTGGTCTATGGTTTGCCCCTTGAAGAGATATATCAGTGGAAGTAAACACGTGTAGATTGGATTTCAGAGCATTTTTTTCTTATAGCATAAGAAATATATATTGTTTGAAAACTTGCTAAATGCACTACTTCTTATCTTACAGAGGGCCTATGTTTTGGAGTTAGTTCTTCTATGTCATGGTCCTGTGTGTGACATGAGGAAACTGGGGTACTCCTTGAGTTGAGGTCAGGCCCTCTGCAGTGCACATATTTCTGTGCATGTTAAGTCTTTAAACTTAGTTTTCCTTTTATTGACTCATCCCCAGCCACAATACACCCACCAACTCTTTCCTGTGCTCAGAACTACTTATGTGTCTGAAGCTTTTTTGTGAACACTTCTTAAAATCATCTTTATGTCTCTCTGGCTGGTGGAAATTTGCCATTCTCAGCCACTTTGTCCTCCTTTTAGACAAAAAGGAGGAAATACCTTTTTCCTAGTTCAAGTAAATGGATTGTCCCAAAGTGATTCATCTTGAATAAGCAGTTGTGTGTAACTAAAACTCAACTACTGTGCTTGTTCAGGCAGAGATGTGACTCAGCCTTGCCAGCCCCTAATGCATATAGACAGAGGCTCACAACAATACAGCTTTCAAATAGTCAATTCCATACCCTGAACCAGAAGTTATATGCCATTCTGCAAAGCATAGTTTATATGCAACAGGCTTAATATTGTATTCAAGTGGATTTCATGTTTCTAATAGATGTGAAGATGAAATTAAAATTATATGCTTGTATTAGTAAATCTAGGCTTGTTGCTGTCAACTTGATAGTTAATCCCTGATTCTGCTGGATTTTGGTGATCACTACATAACTCAAGTATGTTTGACATTATTTACGAAATAATGCAAAGACTACATGAATAAAACTGTGGGTTAAGGTGTGTGGGTGGGTTCCCCTGTCCAGAAAACAGCATTCATAATGAAATGTGATTTCTCCCATTCAGGTTTTTTCAAATTTTCATGGTAAGAAATCCTTATGCTTGTTACACTTCTCAACTGTCTTTTTGACAACTATTTTAAAGTTTCCTCTACAGAAAATGTCTGCTTTTATAAAACACAAGACGGTATTCACATTTAGAGTATTGCATTCTATAAAAATTTAGAGTTTATATTTTACTTCATATTTAAATAGTTCTGAATGCTTAGGTGTCTAAGTAAATACCCGAGTGGCACTATAAAATGCCTATTGAAACATAAGACACTGAAGATGTAGATTTTATACCTTCATAATATTTCTAGGATTTGCTAGATGTTGAAGCTGCTGTTCTAAGCATAAATGGTCTTTACAGAACATAGTCAATACATTGCCTTCAAAGTATTGGTTTAGGAACTTTGTGCTCTGAATGCTCTTGTTCTCATACAGCCCAAACCAGCAGCTGCACCAACACAATCACTGGCAACAACTCAGCAATCAAATGCTATCACCACTGTTAGCTCTACAATGGCAGCTGCAGCTCCCACATCAGTCCCTGCTCCAGCTCCTGTCTCTACCACTCCAACATCAGCTGCAGTTGCTTGTGAACCTATACCTGTAAGTGCCCCTAAAGAAGAGAAACCATCTGAGACACCAGCTGTTCTCGGTCCATCATCAACTGGCAGGTATGAATGAGCCTCCCAGAAGGGTTTCTGTGTTTATTTCCTCTTGTTTCTGGTTTTGGTTTTAAAAATAAGTTCTCCATTGTAATATTAGTTCAGATTTTTTATTTACCTATTTTTCCCCCTAAATGTAATGTCTGTCTATGGCTCAAATATAATGTTATTATGGGTAATAAGCCCCCCACCCCAGAAGTATGACCTTGTGATTAAACTTACATAGCTGGCAGTCAAGTAATACAGGACGTAATCTACTCTCCTTGGGCATGTCGTGGAGTTGTTGTGACTCAACTTTTTTTTTTTCTTTTAAACTGAGGCTATTTTGCTATGCCTGCATGATAAACTGATGTTTATGAAGCTCTTCAAGACTTTAAATGGGTGTGTTGTCCCATCCTGTCTTGTTTCCCTTTCCCCCCCCACACACTTTTTTTTTTAAGATCTGATTTTGTTTTGAATCACGCTGGTCAGATTTGATACACGTGATGTAGTAAGTTCTTATTCCAATAAGAATCCCCTCTCTTCTGGAAAGAGATAAAATTAAAGGATCTACAGTGTATACACTTTTGATGGAATTCAACTTTGAACCAAAAGGTAGGATACAGTATTGCTCTTAATCATAGAGTATCTTAAAGCTACGAGACTATTCATCATAAACAATCCTTGGCCCTTCTGTAAGTGGTTCTGGTGGTTAGGATGGCTTGTGGTCTCGGCTCTCAGAGTTCAAAAAAATCAAGCGCAAGTTTGCAGTTGCATCTCTGGTTAATACTCTACCCTTTGCTCGTTTGAAGTTGCTTGAGGATTGCATAGGATTTAAAAGAAAAAATAGTTGGCTATAACTTCATGGCCCTTGGAGTGTTGCATAACTTTAGGTCTTAATTCTCCATATACAGGCTTATAATTATTTGTGTACTATTTATGTGAATGCTGTTGCACAAGACATGATTTTTTGAAGTAATAGTATTTAAATAACATCCAATATGGGTTTATTTTGGGAATGGGGAAACAAAGCTTGGCACTGATGGAAATGTTGGCACTGATTTCTTGCAATAAATACCCCTAATTATAGATGTAATCTTGCTTTTCTAGAAAATTAACAACTATTTTGAACTAGTAAAGTATAGAATACAAATGAAGCTTATCAACAGAATAACTTGCATTTTTTTAACTTAGTATTTTGTGCTGCTCAGTTTGTCCAATAAGTTTAAAGAATAGATGAAATCTTTTAAGTTAAAATGGTGCTTTCTGTTTCTTGTACACATGGGCTATAAAGTTGTAAAATTGCAGTAAAAGGAGTCTTGATGTAAATATTAATTCTAATAGGAACCAAAGGAGTAAACTGACAAATACAATATGATACCTTATTTGATTGTAGCAGGTACTGTTTGTTTCTGATGTGCTTGATCAGTTAAATAACTACTATTTGAAGGCTGGATAAAGTTTTCTGGGCTTGATCAGGAAAGCTGGTATTTTATTTCTTCTTTTCAAGCCTTTGTTTTTGTTGTTGTTTTTTTTTCCTTTTGTAGTTCTACTAAATCTTGACAGTGATAAATATTAGTGGAGTATTCTTGCTGGAACTTTTTTTTTTTTCTTGCGTTAAAATTGCATGTATGTAAATGGGTTGTTGGGGTTTTTAATGGCATCTTTTAAAAGTTGATCCAGATAAATGGTGATCTTTCACTTGTAATTTGTGTATTTGTGAATTTTAACTTATCTTGTTAAAGTATGATGCTGAGACTTTAAAACGTGCTTGGCACTGGCGTGCTTTGATTTTCATTGAGGTCAGTCTGAGTTACATTGTCGGTTTTGGGGAAATGGTTAGGGACAGAATTCTGCTTTTGGAAATCCATCTTGTTCTCCCACCATTAAACATTCAAGCAAGATGATACTCCTGGAACAGATGAGTAGTAGTATATGAATGTGTATTGGGTATAAATGACAGAGTTTAAGTAGCAAGTGACTTCAGTGGTGACCAGTGTGGGAGTAGGCTATGAACTACCCAATGCCAGTCACAGCCGGTTCCAGTCAGCTTTGAAACCAATGTAAGCAACCCACTGCATGCCAAAACTTCAGCCAAACAGAGGAGCACATGGTGCCTCTGCTCAGACATATGTAAGAAAGAGCAGTAGCTACCAGGGGCAGGAGACATGCAGAGGAGATGCTCTTAGAGATATGCTACTTGAGGATGCAGTGGGAGACGCACTCATTGAAGGAGGCACTCCATGCCAAAGTGGATACAATGAGGTTGCTCAGGACCATGCCCAGTTGGGTTTTGAATATCTCCAAGGATGGAGACGCCACAACCTCTCTGGGCAACCTGTTCCAGTGATTGACCACCCCCAGTGATTGACCACCCTCAGAAAAAAAAGGCTTTTTTTCTTATGTTTAAGTGGAATCTCCAGTATTTCAACTTGTGACCATTGCCTCTTGTCTTTTCACTTGGCACCACTGAGAAGAGTCTGGCTCTGTGCTGCCCTGTGTCCCCCCTCCTCCCATCAAAAAAGACAGGTACTTATATACATTGATAAGATCCTCCTTGAGCTTTCTCTTCTCCAGGCTGAACAGTCCCAGCTCTCTCAGCCTCTCCTCATATGTCAGAGACTCCAATTCCTTAACCATCTTCATGGTCCTTTGCTGGACTCATTCAAAAATGTCCATGTCTTTTTTCATACTGAGGAGCCTAGAACTGGACACAGCGCTCCAGATGTTGCCTCCCTAGTGCTGAGTAGAGGGGAAGGATGACCTCCCTCAACCTGCTGGCAACACTTCCTAATGCAGCCCAGGATGCTGTTGGTCGTCTTTGCTGCAAGGGCATGTTGCTGGCTACTGTTCAACTTGTTGTCCACCAGGACACCCAGGTTCTTTTCTGCAAAGCTGCTAGTCAACCCCCAGCCTGTACTGGTGCATGGGGTTATTCCTGCCTAGGTGCAGGACCCTGCACTTGCCTTTGTTGAACTTCAGGAGGTTCCTCTCCGTCCATCTCTCCAGCCTGTCCAGGTCCCTCTCAATGGCAGCACAGTCTTCTGGTGTGTCCGCCACTCCCCCCCGTTTAGTAGCTGAGGGTGCACTCTGTCCCTTCCTCCAGGTCGTTGATGAATACATTGAACAAGACTGGACCCAGGGCTGACCCTGGGGGACACTGCTAGCTACAGGCCTCCAACTAGACTCTGCGCCACTGACCACAACCCTCTGAGCTCTGCCATCCAGCCAGTTCTCAATCCACCTCACTGTCCACTCATCTAACCTGTACTTCATCAGCTTGTCTATGAGGTTGTTATGGGAAACCATGCTGACTACTCCCAGTCACTTTCTTGTCCTTAATATGTTTCCAAATAGGTTCTAGGATTATTTGCTCCATCACCTTCCCAGGAATCAAGGTGAGCCTGACTGGCCTGGAGTTCCCTGGATCCTCCTTCTTGAATATAGGAGTGACATTTGCTTTCTTCCAGGCCTCAGGAATCTCTCCTGATTGCCATGATCTTTCATAGATAATTGGGAGTGGCCGTGGAATGACATCAGCCAGCTCCCTCAGCACTTGTGGGTGCATCTCATCGGGCCCTATAGACTTGTGTCTGTCCGGTGTGTTTAAATGTTTGTTAACCTGATCCTCTTCCCCCTGAAGGTAAGTCTTCCTTGCTGCAGGCTTTCCCACTGGTCTCAGGGGCCAGGGATTCCTGAAGGCAAATCTTCCCATTAGTGGGCAAGGTGAAGAAGTCATTGAGTAATTTGGCCTTTTCCATGTCCTTTGTCACCAGGGCCCCTGCCCCAGTTCAGCAGCAGGCCTTTATTTTCCCTACTCTGCCTTTTGCTGCTGATGGACCTGTAGAAACCTTTCTTGTTGCCCTTGACTTCCCTTACCAGATTCAACCCCAGGTAGGCTTTGGCTTTCTTAACCCCATCCCTGCATAATTGAACAGTGTCTCTATATTCCTCCTGGGTCACCTGTCCCTGCTTCCAACTTGTGTATGCTTCCTTTTTATGTTTGAGTTGAGTCAGGAGCTCCTTGTTCATCCATGCAGGCCTCCTGCCACCTTTGCTTGACTTACTGATCATTGGGATGGACCATTCATGAGCTTGGAGGAGGTGATCCTTGAAAATCAACCACCTCTCTTAGACCCCTCTTCTCTCCACGGCTGTCTCCCATGGGATTCTTCCAAGCACGTCCATGAAGAGGCTGAAGCCTGCTCTCCTGAAGGCCAGGGTTGTGATCCTGTGTTTTGCCTGCTTCCTCCTCTCAGGATCCTGAACTCCACCATCTTATGGTCACTGCAGCCAAGGCTGCCCCCAGCCTTCACATCCTCAACCAGCCCTTCCTTGTTTGTAAGTATCGGGTCCAGCAGATAGTCCTCTTGTCAGCTCATCAATCACCTATCTTAGGAAGCTATCATCAGTGCATTCCAGAAACTTCCTGGATTGCTTGTGCCCTGCTGTGTTGTCCCTCCAGCAGATATCAGGGTGGTTAAAATCCCTTATGAGGACCAGGGCTCACAAATGTGAGGCTTCTTCCAGTTGTCTGAAGAAGGCCTCATCTACTCCTTCCTGATCAGGCAGTCTGTAGCAGACACCCACCACAATGTCACCCACGTTGGTCTACCCTCTAATCCTAACCCATAAACCCTTGACTGGCTCATTCAGCCCCAGGCAGAGCTCCATATATTCCAGCTGCTCTCTCACATAAGGGTGACTTGCCTTCCTGGCCTGTCCTTCCTAAAGAACCTGTATCCATCCATTGCAGCACTCCAGTTGTGTGAGCTATCCCACCATGCTTCTGTGTATGTGCATTAGTGTACAGGCACTTCAGAGAGGCACCCAATCATGCTGATTTCCCCCCAAAAAAATGTGAGAGCTTCTCCCATAACGCTTTCCTCTTGGCACTTTCTCGTTTGTGTGCATATGCTTGGGGTGGGCCCCCTTCTGCCCTGTTTTGTTGTTTTCAAGGTCTCTCTTGTCCATATCACCCTTTGCTTTCCAATCCGGTCCACCACTTCCTCATTTGGTATCTCATCATCTCCCTCCCCCATTGTTCCTAGTTTAAAGCTCTCCTCACTAGGTTGGCCAGCCTGTTGGCAAAGATGCTTTTGCCCCACTTAGTCAGGTGTATCTCATCTCTTCCTAGCAGTCCTCAAAGAGGGTCCAGTGGTGGTAAAAGCCAGATCCCTGTTGTTGACACCAGCTGCACAACCAGGTGTTGACCTGTAGGATCCACCCACTCCTCCTCAAGTCCTTCTCCCTCACTGGCAGGCTTGAGGAGAAAACCACTTGGGCCCCCATACCCTTGACCCTCACCCCTAGAGCCATGTAGTCACTCTTGATTATGCTCCAGGTTACTTCAGCATTATCATTGGTGCCCATGTGGAAGAACAGCAGGGGGTAACAGTCCAAGGGCCAAAAAAGCCTTAGCAACCTCTCTGTAACATCCTGGATCTGAGCCCCTGACAAGCAGCAAATCTCCCTAGTCAGCAGATCAGGTTGGTAGATGGGGGCCTCTGTCCCCCTGTAGCACGGAGTCTCCCACTACTATCATTTGCTGCTTCTTCCTGGTGCTGCTGCATGGTTCAGGCTCAGCTAGCTCAGATGTTTCACTAGACAGAGCTTCCTGCCTCTTGTTTGCTACCAGAGCACTAAACCTATTCCATAAGTGGAGCAGGAACCTTCCTCCTGGTGCCAGAAGTCACAAGCTTCCAGCCTTCGCCATCAAGTGAGTCCCAACCTGATGAGCACAGACTCTGCCTGCCCTTTCTTCAGTACAGTTAGGGGTTCGTGCTCTTTTCTCTGCAGGGTCTCTGAGAAGATCTGGTTAATCTTTTTTTCATCATCTCTGATGTTGTGCAATCTGCTGACCTCCTCCCACAGCTCCTTTACTTGACAACATAGATCCTCCACCAGCACACACGTCCTGCAGGCAAGGACACTATCTCCCCCAGCCTCAGCAAGAGGCCTCAGGCATTCCCTGCAGCCTGAGACCTGCAGAGCTGCATCCTTCCTTGGGGGCTCTGTTTGAGTCAAAGCCTCTGATGTGCCAGGGATAGTTGCTCCAGTTGGTGCTGGGGACCGTGCCCTGTGGCACATCACCACCATTGCTGAGCATGTGTAAATTGCACTTGGCCATTTCTGGCCTCCTTCTATGCACAAACTGTTGTGTCTGTTAGCTGTGTTCTAGGCTCAGCAGTTATCTAGGGCTCTCCCTAGCACCTGCTGAAAGGGTGTTTGACCCTCCCTAATCAGGAGCCTGCTGAAAGGACCCTTTAATCAAGAACAGCTGAAAGGGCTTCTTAGAAGCTGCTAGAGCTTACCAGAAGTCATAGCTTCCTGAAGCTATCCTTTCCCAGCAACAGCAAGCACCCTTGAGTTTCTAGGATTTCCTCTGATGATCCCAGAAGATCAAGATCTCAAAGTAGAGCCCAGAAACTGTTGTGCAAACTGCTGCCTCTGTTGGCTGTGCTCTCACATTAAGTCTTAGAGAGACAGTTCCTTTATAAAAGGGTATTGGTTTTACAGAAACAGAAGGGGTTACCTACAGAGTTATAGTTGCTGCTTCTGTTTAGCAAAACAGTTTTCCAGAGTTTTGTAACTAATATTGCACTTTTTTTTCCTTATTGCAGTACAACAGGTGATGCTTCTCAATCAAATCTTTTTGAAGATGCTATAAGTGCACTTGGTAAGTGCCATTTTTAATGTAGTCACTGCTTCAGTGCAGCAGAAACAAATGAAGGATGAGCAGATGTTGACATTCTCTACTACATCTGTTATTCCTAAAGTTATAATCAAAGCACTCTTCTCCAAGAACTAAAGTTGTCATAGCAGAACTGACATCAGGAACTTATTTACTGAAAAACATTTCACTTTATATGGAGTTATTACATGAAAAGAAAGATGAAAGTTTTCTTCCCTCTGTTGAAGTGGCTTGGATAGAAGAGTAACAGATATTTGCATATATTTTTCTCTTCACCTCTGCTCCCCAATTTAAAAGTTTGATAAAAAGTTTGGCTTGATATATATATTTTTAATTTGTTCCAGCTTTGACAGTACTGTCAAAGTATATACCAGGTAAATTTAGTTTGCAGTTAGATGAATTCATTTAGACAGCCTCCAAATGCTTATAACCAGTTCCCTTTTGGTTCTGACAATTTAAATACCTTTGCTTCTCAGTGAAATGAACCAGGTAAAAATAATGTGGTGTAATTCAATTGTGAATAGACCTTGTTGTTTGGAAAAATATATATATTTTTTGAATCTGAATTTCTGTCCTCCAGTCTTGCTGATGCAGCTGTTTATGGGATTGCTTAACAAACCCTAGACTCCAATTACTAAAATGGCCTGGGGGAGTTTTGAGAGGGTAGCAAACTGCAGCACAGAAATTAGGAGGGGGAGGGGGATGTTTTCTTCTCTAAGTAAACATTAAACTGTATCTTTTGAGCAAATACCTAAACTGATTGAAAGAAAGATTTGCACTTACATATGTTTATAGGAGGTCTATGTGGGTGTATTGAAGGCAGATTTTATGATAAATAGCAGTTGGGAGCAGTAAACCTTAACCTGGATGGGCAGTAGCCACTAGATTTAGTTATAGTAGATGTTGTAACGTAGTGATTTAGACTGTTTATCACCTGAACTGCCTCTCTGCCTTTTTTTAGCTAACACCTCTCAAGTCAAGAATCCTTTTATGTGTCATAAGTGACTGCTAGTGCCAAACATGCTACAGGCTTCATTACTCCTTTGTAACACTTAAGTGGTTGAAATGTGAATATCTGTGATGAACACTTGACTACTGACCAACAAGTTAAAATAAATTGGTAGTCTTAGTTCAATAGTTACCTTCAGGGTTGAATAAAATAAATACTTTTCTTGGTGTGCAGCAAAAGAGAGAGATGCATCCTATTCAATGCAAATGATCTTGGGTTTGTTAGTGTTAAAGAGTAGCTGAATCAGGCACCCTGACAGAGGCAAGGCTGCTGCAGCTCCGTGCCCCCAGGTCCAACTAGTAGCAGGGCTGAGCATGTATTCCCAGTAGGCACATGCACAAATACATGTATATGATACATGTGGCCGGGCCTCACAGATCAACACACTCGGCACTCATACAAACACAAACAGCACCAACAGCCTCATCCTGTTCCCCTCTCTGGCTGGTCAGGAGGAAGGTCCATTAGTGGGACATATATATGCATATGTACAACGTGGATCCCTCCAGCAGCTGGGCTTGGACACTCAGCCTACTCAGTACCTGACCCCTGGATCCCTGGTCTCCCCAGTTGCTGGCGCCTGGGCATACGAGCCCCCAAGGCCCACAGCCCCACTCCAGCTGCTGGTACAGACCACCCCCCCACACACACACACTGTGGTTCCCCCAGTAACTGGGCTTAGACACTCAGTCTACCCAGTAACTGGTCCCTGGATCTTCTTGTTCTCAGTTGCCTCCTGCATAGAGACACACACAGACACAAATGGCTCTCTCAGGTGACCCCCCCCCAGATCACACAGTCTCACCAGCAGTTGGCCTGGATCCCCTGGTTCCTCCAGTAGCCAACTCCTCCAGGTGTCTCACCCTTAGAGACACACACACGTACCTGGCTCTCAAGCTACTTGATCTACTTGCAGCTAGTCCAGCTTGATATTCACTAGCAATCACACACTGATGTACGTATCCTCACTTGTTCCAGTTGCTGGCACTTAGAGCTCCATCCACACACCTGCACACAGAATAGAGACCCCCCCTCACCCAGGAAAATAGAAATGGAGTTTCCTGAGAAGATAGGACAGACTGCACTGATCAGGCACAGGGCATGGCCAGAAAAGCATACTGACCAGCCACCTGTTTACAGAAGACTGGCCCTTTTTATCCCCTTATCCCTCTATTTCCCCACACTTGTTCCTCCCCAAGCCACCTTGATCCCTCCCTTTCCCTGCCTTTGGTTCCTCCCCTAAGCATCCTATAATAAGTCTTGTGCAATTCCAAAATGCTCTTCCTCTGTACCCCATAACTCCCCTCAGTCAGAAAGGTGACCTGGAGAGCCTTTTTGTAACTCATCTTTATGGGTTTCACAGCTGGACAATGGGGCTGATGGCTCTCCTGTGATGGGACAGGTCAGGGTATTATTCAGGTTCTCCCACCTGCCATTGTTCCTCTGGGCTCCTTTGTGTTCTTGAGAAGAACCTTTTCTCACATAACCTAACAACCACAGAGAAGATCTTAGTTCACTGATGAGCATTCATGTGCTAGAGCTCAGTCATACCTTCCACTTAATAAATGAAGGGCCAGGACCACTGATCATCTCCAGCTACTTTGTGTCATACTGGCAGTACAAAGTCAGCATTTAGGGCTGGTTAATGGCTGGTTCATATTATGGCAACATAAACATACTCAGATTACCCTAGATAAAGGACAAGTAGATCCAGAAGGGGAAAAAGAGATTTACATGGAAATTCAGGTGCTGTGTCTGTTCCCTTCTGTTTATGTTCTTGTGCCCCATTAAGGTTTTTACCATGGAACAAGCCCTTTTTAGAAAAATAATTCTTTTTCTAAAGAATTCTTCTAAAAACATTGGTAGTAGTGAGGAAGGCTAAAGACCTAAAGAATGTGGAATTTCCTATAAAAGTATTGCCCTAAGAAAGAGCTCAGATACTGTAATGATGGGAGACTATGAAGCTTTGCACAAGAAAAGGCCTGTTAAAAATCTTAACTGGGCTTTCATAGTACAGTTATTTGAGGAACATTAAAGTCAAGCCCAGCATTATCCTTTTCCTTCCAGCCACTGGAAATCAAAGGTTAAGTCATTTCATAGTGTAGGTGCCAGCAATCAATTTAGCTAAACCAGTCACAACCTAACCATGAGTACAAAGGGCAAATCATGTTCAGCCATTTTTGCTGTGTTTGAACATTGTATTGCAAATGTGGAACTGCCAGTACTGTGCAGTTCAATTAATGGGATGTTGATGACTGTGCCCATGAACCATTTCATTTTATAGGCCTAAGATTCTCTGGGCCAGATCCTGTAATGGTGTAAGTTAGCATTATGCCTTGGCAATTAATGATGCTAATTGTTCTCCTCTGGTAAACAGTCAGCTATTCAAGCTAATGGATATTTTTCAACAAGGAATTAGCTTTGCTGTTGATTAAAAAATACTTCTACAAGCCCTGTGATCTTGTCATATGCAGACCAAAGGTCCATCTAGCTGAGTATTTCATCTCTGAGAATGGGCAGTATCAGGTGCTTAGGGAGAGATTACAGCATGCAGACCCTTGAGATAGCCTTTTTGTCAGGCTTTAAAATATATATACTTTTAAAATATATTTTGAAATTGCTTCTTGGCTGGTATAAAAATCACTGTGCTAAAAAAAAGCAATAAAAATTTACAATTTCTGGGAGAATCAGACTCAAACTGAGTGGCATGTTGAATATTCTGTATAGAAACTTTCTAGGATAAACAGCAATGTGATGTCCTAATTGAAGTAGGATAACTTTAGAGCTCTGGAAACATCCTCCCCAAGGAATGTTTTGATAAACAAAACAGAAGTTAGTGAGGCAATTAGCAAGGATTAGCTAGTGTTAACTATCCTGTACACACACACATATTCACTTCATATCATACATGTAGTTATGTATACAGGAGAGAGATGTACATGTTGTTACTGAGGCTGTGCTAGTTTTTATGAGGCAAGGAATTTACCTCAAGGCTTTGGTGAGCTAATGAAGGAGTTTCCTTACTGTAATACTGCCAAGGAGAAAATAAGAGAGGGAGGGGGAAAGCAGAGATGAGGGTGGGAGAAGAGAGACTCAGGAGAGCATCTTACAAATTGTAGGTGTTAGGTGGTCTTGTCTTCCATTCCTTCTAAAATCACTTTGCAAGCACACAGCAAAAAAGATTTAAAGCTTGTTTGTTTTTAAGAGGTACCTGCAGTTTTCTCCAATACGGAGGATTTAATGCAAAATTTCTCTATGGGAACTGGACTGGCTTCCACAGCACTCTAACTGCACAATGAGGATTATGGCTCATAAATCTAATTTATGGCACTGTCAAACTCCCAGCAATCCCAGAATTACAGTGAGGAGAAGTTCAAGTATGGCCAGTGAAGATCAAGCATGTCTGAGACTGGGACCACTGTATCACAAATAGATCCTGTTTCTAAAACACAGGACCATGCATCTAAAGTGGCATTTGCCTATGTAGGCAGCGCCTCTGACACAAGATGTAGATAGCCATTCAAAACCTCTAAGCTTTCTCTTACAGCAGACACAAACCATCTTGTAAAAAAAGCAATACATTGCTTTGGAGGGGCGGGGGGAGGAGTTGCTGGAAATTGTGGTAAGCTCTCTGACTTCTATTCTATTTGTATTTTTTTTTATGATGGCAGTGCCTGAAGGTCCTGATGAGATCAGTGTATCTCTGTCCTAGAAGCTGCATAAACATACACAGAGAAAAAGTTCTTGGCCCTGGGAAGTTTAAAGTCTAAACAGACAAGACAAGGGAAGGGAGAGAACACAGAGCCACAGAGAAGGGAAGAGTTTTGTCACGTGGTCAGTGGCAGATCCAGGACTCTCCTACTGTTATCCAGGGACTGGAGTGGATTTGAAAAGAGATAGGAGTTATGTGTTTGCCCTTCTGACCAAAAGGAGTGAGAAACCATTATTTCCTGCCAGTAAAACACCATTTCTGCTCTCAAGTCAGGATGCCTTTGGGCTCTCAGTCTACAGAATTGCTGCCTGACCTCACCCTCAGACCCCTCCAATGGTCTCCTCCAGCCTGAGTGCCCAAGCTGAGGGAATGATCAATCTCAGGCCAAATGGATCCTGGCATCACACATCCATCCTGTAGGAGGGGACCCCTTGGAAGACAAGCAAATCACTTGAAAATTCACTTTCATTCAGCAGCTTCTGAAAAACTTGAACACAGTCTAGGGCTTGGAAAAC